GGTAAATGTTCTGTGACTTTAATGTTAAAAACAATATAGGCCAATCCAGCACCAAATGCCACTGAACTTCCCGCCTTTGACTTAAACAAATCTTCACCACTATTATCCGGTACCTTTTGCATTAAACAAAGCTAAAATGAGCAGACAGACATGTGTATCAAAGCAGTTTTCCACAGTTTGTCATTGTGATGCATGCTCACCATGTTTGGTGCAAGCCCCTAGCAAGTTTACGATGTTGAGGTGAGGACCCAGATGACTCATGATCTTTAACTCTGACATCAGGGCCTGAGTTTCACTCCTTCTGGCTGTAGCTGGATGTCAGAAGAGGGAAAAAGAAGGGAAGAAGAAGATGGAAAAATTAGATGCATAAACTTAGGGTAGTTGGAAGTAGTTACAAGAACAAGAGAACTAAGAACCCTGAGAGCAGGACACACTGTGTCTTTGCCAAACTGCTCAATGACCTGTGAGCTACGACTTGAATCAGGCTGGCAAGCAAACTAAAGCTCAGCGGGCTGCTCTCTCTGAGCCCACAGGAATATGGCACTGGTGTCACAACATCTGACAGCTATGCGGGGGTCCATATACTGTTCACACAAATTACGCACATGGCTTTCTGCTTTGTTTTTATATTGTAGGGCTTACATTTCAGCATTTTCACTGCCACCTTTGTGCTGGACTGCGAATGCGTGAGACCATATGCAGTTGCCTCGACCACCCTGCCAAACGCTCCTGATCCAAGAGTGCGACCTGAAACACAAAGAGGAGCTCAGAAGGACAGAGTCTGAATGGGGCCCACATTGGCCCTGCAAAAGTAAGGGAGACCATTTTTAACTAAAATAATAGTGTCAGCAAATGTATGTTATTTTCTGAGGAAGGGAAGATTATTGCAGATAAATAGTATTTATTAAGAGCATATGATGTTTTTCTTGATGTTGAGATGTGTCCTGTTTGTTGGTGAGCAGCTGACTATGAATATGTCAGTCGTTAAACATGAAAGTTTAAAAGCTCTCTGTGAATAGAGCTTTAAAAATGAAGTGCCGCTGGAGCTGATAAGAGACGTTTAACAAGGTTTGTTTAGTATTCCAGTGTCGACTGTTCCCAGACAACACAAACCACCCACAGCACTACAGCTACCGGGCAAAAGCTCCAGTTTAAAATGTCTGTGGAAGCAAATACCTCTATTTAGACAAATAAAAAGTGGCAAGCTGAAAATTTAGCTGCAGCTAACCACGAATTAGTGTCCTCAGTTGACTAGGCTAATTTTAATGCCTAAGATAATAAATATTTGTTCAATCCTCGGTGTGTTGATGCTTTAATAGATTAAAAACTTTGTGCCACATAATTTTTTTCATATTTTTTTAACCGCACATAATATTTTACCATTTATGGAAAACCTCTATTAAAAAGGTTTAATGTAGTGGGAGAAAATTACAAAGACATTTTCTGTTCTGTTTCTTTTTTTCCTTTTTTTTAAACTATTTTTTAATAGTTTAATCTAATTTAATTTGGTTATGCCATTTAAATGTGTTATGATGCTTTACAACATAAAAATATGATTCATATTTTTATGCTGTTGTCGCCTTTGTTTTCAGCATCATTCGTAACACTGCAATTTCTGATCTTCATTAGGTTGATTGTCCCTAATTTGCATGAACGGGAGCAGATTTAAGTTAAAACTGCACACATGCAAGATATTAGGATTTCCATCAGGACTAGTTTTTTTTAGCTGAGCTTAGCTTATCATCTCACCCAGCACTAGGTGGTCACGACGCATTTCCCAAGCCAGGTCATAGGGCAGGTGGATGGGGTCCACGTAGATATACTCATGTCCATCCTGGCTCACAGATTCTATCACCTTCCATCTGATCTCATAGCGAGGTTTCTGAGAACAAACAGCATTGCTTTTGAAGAAAGGAAAATTGAAAAATGGAAACTAAAAAATGTTTGAGTTTCTCTTACCTTCCTCCAGATTGCAATGAGGATGATGAAAGACATGATAACAATGACCACTAAGGCTAAAACAGCAGCCAACACTGCCACCTGGGAGAAAAGGGCTGCAATAGGCAAGAGGACACAGAACATTAGACACAATATAAATAACATGAATCTCCACAT